ATATTTTAACGGAGTATCAAAATTGAATCTTGAATTGTCTCTAGTGGGTCAAGTCTTTGATCAAGTCTAGTCTCTCACCTCTTGTTTCTTAATCACTTTCACATCACCTTCACAAGCTACTCAAACTTGGTCTAAGTACTCTAGAGATTACTTCACTCATTTTTTTTCACCCGTGCGTGAGTGATATCCTACTTGGAGAGTTTTTTGTATTATTATGGTCTTTTTTTTTTGTCAATTAAGTTAAAAATTAATTTATTGGCTTTTTATTTTTTCCAGTCACATCACCTCTTATTTGCTTTTTTAGACATGTACAATTTATTTTTTATTTTTTATTTTTTTGGGGACAGAAAACCATACTATATTAATTAAACCTTGAGTACACCTTTGGTTAGATCATGAGTTGGTTTAATTACATCTCTTCCTACTTTACTAATACAAATATAATACAAACGTTTGACATAAAATAAAATATCTTCTACAATTGTTGCAGTTTGCCATTCTATGTTGAGGCCTTTTGTATTGAGCATGCGCACCAGCACTTGGCAATCCGTTTGAACGTTAATGTGTTTTATCGCATTGTGTATCGCCCATTTAATTGCTTTCAAATATGTTGTCGCTTCCGCCACCAATGGAGTTTGTCGTGACTTCTTCACTAGTGCTGTTTGGTTGACTTTTTGGTTTGTGTGATTCAACCAAATCCATGCGATCCCCGCATTTTGCTGGGAGGATGTCCAGGGGAAGTAAGGATGCTGCTGCGTGGGTTGGGCTGCAGCGGTTGTTGTGCGGCACAATGAGCTCATTTCATAATTCATTTTGATAATTTGAACTATTCACATTTTAGAACACATCAAGTAAAATATGTCTGCAAAAAATCAAGATAATCTGATATCGTGTACCAATTCATCCATTCATATTTGTATTCATTTTAATACTTTAAATTACAATTATTATTTATTTTTGTAGATATAAATGTGAGTAGATGAATGGGTAAACGATATCCGATTAACTTAGGCTCTGTTTGTTTGAGTTTTGGAACTTTAGTTCTAGTATAATGTTCTCACGTAGTGTTTGTTTGTAACTTTCAAAAATTAATTATGCGCTCACTTTTGAAAACTCGGCCGAATGCGGGAAAATTTGAACTAACCGGTCGTCCAGCCGGTTGACTAGAACAGTGCAAATATATATATATATATATATATATTGCAATTGACACATGTTAATTTTTATATATTCAACCAAAAATATTTTCTGAATTTTTTAAATTTTGTTTATGAGCTTTAACAGAATTTTGAGTCATGTGTTTGGTTATGAATTGTAAGTTTTTGTATCAAATATCATATGTCACATCAAAAATTCTCCACGCAATTCAAAACTTTTTTCAAAACTCATTCACCAAACAAATTTTTCACACTCTAACCATTATTCTAAAACTCACAAACTCAAAATACAACTCTTATTCTCAAATCATATTTAGAAAGTTCTACTTGGATTTTTTGCGGACATATTTTACTTGATATATTCGAAAATATGAACAATTTGAATTATCAAAATAAGCCCTAAAATGGGTCCATTTTACTGCACAGCAGCCGCTGTTGCGCAGCCTGTGCAACAACATCCCCACATCCATGTCGAGGATCCGTCAATGATATCCATTCTCGCTTCCCGGTACCTGCAAATCCCGCAAAACACATGCACTACATTTTCCCCTACTTCTAACTCCTTTTCAGTGTTCATAGGTGTTTTATTATGTTTGTTATTAATAACCATTATTGACAGGTTCTTTGCTTCCTCAACTGTGTGTTCAATAGATGGAACACATTCATTGAACACCACATTATTCCTATGTATCCAAATGGCCCAGAGAATTGCTACAGATTGGATGATAATGTCATCATCCTTTTACTTGTTCCACCCATTCTTTGAACCATTGAAAGAAAGCCACCGGTGTTCCACTACTAAAATCAAGTCTTCGATTGGTGGTTCTCGATAATTGCGGCCCACATGGGGTTGATTTCGGTCATTAACTTTTAGGCTCGGTTTCGATGTAATATATTTTATACAATTTTTTTAAAAAAAATTAATTTATATAGAAAAAATATTTTATTTTTATTTTTTGGCATTTAGTTGATATTTGAAATAAAAATATTTTATTATTTAAAAAAGAAATTTTGATTCAATAAAGTGTTATTTATGACTTTTTAATGAGTTAAGATATTTTTTTGAAAAGACTAAATGTGTTGAAAATGTAGAGAGTGAGAGTAAACTTTGTAAAAATTGATTTAAGGAATTTTAAATGGTAAGTCATTTTTGCAAAAATAATATAAAAATATTTTTCTTAAAAAATGTTTTACTTATTTTTTGTTCAACCAAACAACGGAAAATGCATTTTACGTATAAACAAATGGAGACTTAGTGCTTTTAATGGAATATTAGAAAAATTACTTTTTTTTTTAAAAAAAAAAAAGTACTATTTGTCCCTTATAATAAAATAAAATTTTTATTTTATCAATTGAAATTTTAATCTTTTGATTTTTTTTTTTCCAATCTAAATCATATGTTAATTTTTGTTAAATAAACTTGATAAAAAAAATAGTATTTTAATCATTAAATTTAATGGAAAGAAATATTTTAGACATTTTATGTACACCTGTATAAATTGAATGACTAAAATACTTTTTTTTTTCATCAATTTTACTGAACAAAAATAAGCAAATGGTGTAAATTAAAAACAAATCAAAATATTATAATTTAAATTGACAATATGAAAAACTTAGAGTTTATCTTATTATAATGGTCAAACTTTTTTAATAATTTCTTCTAGATTATTTATATAAAAATTAAAGTTGATCAAATTGATCATAATTCAAATAATGATAAAGTATAAAATTAATATAATTAAAAGGACATAAGTGGATTTTGAAAGAATAATTTGCAAGAAAAAATAAAATTTTCTGAATAATGATTGCTTCCAAAACTGCTATAAATCGAACTCACAGACACACTACAATTTGATGGTGCATTCGGCTCCATCCTATTGCGATAAAAAAATATTAGAGATTTTTAAAAAATTATCAAAATTTTTATCAAATGTCTCACATATAGGTATGAGACCCATATGAGATCCAAATTATGTGAACCTTATACCCATGTGACATATTTGATAAAAATTTTAATAGAATTTTTAAAATTTCTAACATTACTCTATTGCAATTGCGTCTCGATCAGCATTCATTACGATTGCTACCTTGATGAAATAATCAACATCCAATTCTCGATCAAATCAGAGGGCATACCTAAATTTTTTTAATAATACTATATGCATCAATTAGTGTACTAACTAATATACTAATTGATGATGTGACAAAATTTAAGAGGTTGATAATTATAATTTATATAATGAATGGGGTCAATAATAATATCATAACTATTGTTGTACACTAATTAGTACATTAATTTCCATCCTATTGCCGTATTGTAACCAGGGCCGGCCCTGAGATTTGTGGGGCCTAAGGCAAACTATGAAAATGGAGCCCCTCTAATATATATTTTTTTTAATAAAAAATTTATGCATAAAATGATAAGCATCCACAAATTTTTTATTTAAGTACACTTGAACTATACTTCCTAGGAAACATGGTTATAATCACAAACACTTCAATCCACAAATCACAAACACTTCAAATCAATCCACAAATCATAAATACTTCAATCCACAAATCACAATCCACTGATTTGGGAGTAAATAAATTATAAAACAACAATTTAATGAAACAAAATTAGGGCAAAAAATTATTCAATTAAAACTTCAATCCACAAATCACAATCCACTGATCTGAAAGCAAATAAATTATAAAAAAATAATTTAATGAAACAAAATTAGGGCAAAAAAATTATTCAATTAAAACTGATAAATACCTAGGTAAAAAAATTAGGGCTAAATTATTTATTTCACTAAAATCTAATGGATAAAGAAGGTAAAAAAAAAATTAGGACAAATTTATTATTCCATTAATTGATAGAGAAAGAATATAGAAAAAAAAAATAGGGCAACTTTATTTAATAAAATCTGATACTGAGAGAGTGTGTGTGTGAGAGAGAGTGAATGGCCGAAGGAGTATGTGAAAGAGAGAGAGAGAGAGAGTGAGTCGCTCACAATGTTGTGCTTTGCGTCTGCCTTCAACTTGGTGTACATACTTCTGTCTTCATTTCATCACTTCGTTAAAGAGAGAGATTGAAAGCAGAAGCACACTAGCAATGCACTGAAGTGATGTTGTATATTGTATCTATGGTTTAGGTTGGGCCCAAACACATTTTCTGTTTTTATTTTTTATTTTTTTGTTATATATTTTCATTTTAATAAATATGGGTGAAACACATTTATAAATAAATATGGGCTAAATTATACATGGGCCCAACAAAACATTTTGGGACCCTTTAAATTGATCTTAAAAAAAAAAAAATTGGGCCTGTAACAATTTTTTAAATTTGAAACCCTATTTTTGAGCCAAAATTTGAGGCCTAAGGCATAAACCTTACCTGCCTTAGATCAGAGCCGGCCCTGATTGTAACCTTCACCCCCCAAGTCTTTCAATGTCTCTATCTCAAAAAAAAAATATTTCCCTGAACCACTCACATTTTAAACCTATTGCCGTATGTAACCTTCACCCCCCATGTCTTTCAACGTCTCTATCTCAAAAAAAACAATTTCCTTTAACCACTCACATTTTAAACCTATTGCCGTATTGTAACCTTCGCCCCCCATGTCTTCCAACGTCTCTATCTCAAAAAAAAAAATTTCCTTTCACCACTCACATTTTAAACCTATTGCCGTATTGTAACCTTCACCCCCCAAGTCTTTCAGTCTGTGTCTCAAAACACTTTTTTTCTTTAACCACTCACATTTTAAGAAGATAAAATAATATTAAATAATAATAATTTAAAAAAAAAAAAAAAGCCTAGGTAATTTCATATTATAATATATATACTACCTTGATGAAATAATCGACTCATCCATCACCAAAAAAAAATATGTCGAAGTGGCTTACTGTGCTCTGCACTGCCCTTGTGTGGTGTTGCTATTTGTGCAGTATCCCTGCTGCCACTTCTATGGCAAATAATGAGACAGACAGATTTGCATTGCTGGCCTTCAAGGCTGCAATTGTTCAAGACCCATTTGGTGCACTCAGTTCCTGGAATCATTCACTCCACTACTGCCACTGGAACGGCATTTTGTGTAGTCAACGACATCCCGACAGAGTCATTGGGATAACTCTAAGGTCCCAAGGCCTGGTTGGATCGCTCTCAACTCATATAGGAAACCTCTCCTTCCTTAAAAGCATTAATCTTCAAAACAATATCTTCCACGGCCCAATCCCACAGGAGATGGGTCGCTTGTTTCGGCTACAAACAATAGAATTTAGCACCAATTCGTTTGGAGGTGGAATACCAAACAACCTTTCCCGCTGCTCAAAACTCGAATGGCTGAACTTGATCGACAACAACCTAACCGGAAACATTCCAGCTGAGTTGGGCTCTTTGTCAAGACTTGGAACTTTAGCCTTGCGTAAAAACAAGCTTTCAGGAACCATCCCTCCTTTCATTGGAAACCTCTCATCCCTGTTCCAAATTTCTTTCTCGGAATGTAATTTGCATGGAGAGATTCCGGCAGAAATTGCCAGGCTTCGAGGCCTGAGATTAGTCCTGTTATCTGAGAATAACCTATCTGGCAAGGTTCCATCTGGCCTTTACAATATCTCCACCATCATTTTGTTAGCAGTAACTATTAACCAACTTGAAGGAAATATTCCTCCGGATATAGGCTCCACCCTTCCTAATCTCAAGTTTCTTTATTTTGGGGAAAATTTGTTTACTGGAACACTTCCTAATTCACTATCAAACGCTTCGGAGCTTGAAGAAATATTTTTCCCTTCAAATGATTTCAGCGGGACAATGCCGAGAGATCTCGGAAAACTTCTGGGTCTTCAACGGATAGTTGTTTATAACAATCGGTTGCAGGATGACCTCACTTTTATTTCGTCTCTAACAAATTGCACCAGTTTACAATATATTGATGCGGGTAACAATTCTTTTAGAGGTTCATTGCCTGACTCCATAGGTAATCTCTCCACATATCTTAGTATTATAAATTTGCAGATTAATCAAATACATGGAAGCATTCCCTCAGGCATCGGAAACCTCCTCAACCTCACTGTCTTATCTATGGCAGCAAATAATCTTGCTGGCCCTATTCCATCCTCCATTGGCAGACTTCAACAGCTGCATGCTCTGTACTTAGGCCTGAACAAATTCACAAAACTTCCATCTTCGCTTGGTAATTTGACTTTGTTGATTACTCTCAACTTGCAAGAAAACAACATCCATGGAAGCATACCTCCAAGTTTGGGCAATTGTCATAGCTTGTTCGTATTATTCCTTGATAAAAATAATTTCACTGGTTCAATACCCCCTGAAATTATGAGTCTCTCCTCCATTTCAGCAGCCCTCTCGTTGGCTCACAATGCACTAACCGGTTCTCTTCCATTGGAAGTAGGGTCTTTGACAAATCTTGGATACATGGATGTATCTTATAATAAATTATCAGGACCCATTCCAAACACTCTAAGGAATTGTTTGAGCCTCGAATGGCTTCACTTGGAGGCTAATTCATTTGAGGGAGAGATACCTCAAAGTTTGAGAATATTGAGGGGCTTAAGAGTGTTGGATCTTTCACGCAACAATTTGTCGGGGCTAATCCCAAGTTATCTAGGTGAGCTTCAACTAGATATCTTGAATTTGTCTTTTAATAGGTTACATGGACAAGTTCCAATACAAGGAGTGTTTCAAAATGGGAGTGCAATTTCAATTGTTGGAAATAATGGTCTATGTGGAGGTATTGCAAAATTAGACCTTCCTCCTTGTGCAGCCTCCACATTAAGCAAGAATAAGCTATCTCACAGGATGAAAGTGATCTTGGTGATTGGTCTTGTGACATTTTTATCTTTTTTAGCGTGCTTCTTTATATTTCTTCGATGGCGTCATGTTTCAAAAAATAATGTGTCTTCCACACCATCAGTCAAACATCAATTGTTGAGGGTTTCTTATGCAGAACTTTTTAAAGCCACCAATGGATTCTCGGAGGCTAATCTAATTGGTGTTGGAGGCTATGCTTCAGTTTACAAAGGGATTCTTGATCAAGTTCAGATGGTTGTGGCAGTGAAAGTGCTCAATCTTCATAATAGAGGAGCTTCTAAGAGCTTCATGACAGAATGCAAAGCACTAAGAGCAATAAGGCATCGAAATCTATTGAAAATTTTGAGTGTTTGTTCTAGTGTGGATTTCAAGGGTAATGAATTCAAAGCTTTGGTGTATGAATTTATGACAAATGGAAGCTTAGGCAAATGGCTACATCAAGTCGGAGTGGAAGACCATGGGCGGCCAGAAGAACCTAGATATCTTAAACTAATCCAAAGGCTGGACATTTCCATTGATGTTGCCTCTGGACTTGGGTATCTTCATTGTGGTTGTGAGTCGACAATTATTCATGGTGATCTAAAGCCAAGTAATATTCTTTTGGATGATGAGATGACGGCTCATATTGGAGATTTTGGGTTAGCAAAAATTATTTCTACTGTTTCAAGTGATGTGGCACGAGGTCAAAGCAATTCAGCTGCGATAAGGGGAACAATAGGCTATATTGCTCCAGGTACAAATTCTTTTCAATTTCCTTGATGTAGAAAAGCTGAACTTGCGATAGGAAAAGTAATATATATACACACACATACATATATATACACCTTGCATGGTAGAATCATTTTTTTTTTTTAATCAGCAAAAGAAGAATCTTTATTGATGAAGATCAAAATACAAGAGTAAGATATACGTCAATAAAGAGGAATAGTGCACAAAGCAACACAGCAAAACTTAATGATCCCAACTAGGTTGACACCGAAAAGTAAGCACAATCATTTGTAAGCACTAAACCAAAATGATTGGTGAGGAACCAATAAAGAAAACAACACAAAAGAAACCAAAGCAAAGCCAAACAGCCCCCTATCAGTTACAAGATAGGAAAAACAAATGAAATCCACCCAAGAAATCATCATTAGCAGCAACAAGACCTCCTTAACAAACCACCAATAGCAAAGAGTTAAATGTCTTGCCTAATTCATCAGTCTCATGTGCCATCTCTGCCTCTGATCCTTCCAGTATATGACCCACTCTTCAGCCACTGCTCCATCTCCACCAAGCATAGCAACCATAACAACCATTTTCAGCAGCTGTTACATTTCCTTTAATTCAACAAGCAGAGTGACAGTTGCTCCCTGCAGAAAAGCAAATCTGTCATGTTCCAGTTCTTCATATCAGATTTTGTCTTTGCCCAAAATACTACTCAAAACTTAATGAAATCAACAAGATCCGCCCAGTTTGGTTGTTCATCTGAAAACACACATCCATATTTATTCCTTAAGTTCCAAACTGACCATAATACTGCCACTGGTACACCTCCCAAACAATCCTTTTTGCTTTCTTAAATTCCCAGCTTTGCCATTATTCCAACAACAAACCCACTGAGCCTGGACTTACCCATGTCAATGTGCACCAATTTACAATTATAGACCATATCCTCCACACTTTAAGACATCGGAGTAACACATCGTTTGTCGATTCCACTTCCTCCACACAAATGGAGACATTCGTGGTAGAATAATTTCAGCATAAACAACCATACTAAAAACCATAGCTTCCTACAAAATAGTGGGCACCTACATATTTTTAAGGATTTTTTTTATTATATATATATATATATATTGTCATTTCTGAATGCCCCCAATGTGTGCTTCCACCGGAATTAATCCTTTATGTCGCCTCCTCTGTTATCTTTTTCTTTTCTTTTTTTCTTTCCTTTTAAAAATATAAAATAATAAAATAAATTATTTATGTAATTCTAGTATAAAAGTTTACTCCGATCAAAATAGTCCAAAGTATCTACTAGTGGAAAGAATTGTTATACTACTTTGCAACCAAAGCATTGTCCAAAATCTTACTCAATTCTTGGAAGATTGTATAGTTGATTATGATATACCTTTCCATGCAAGACTAACTTCTGTTCGCTTCAATGAAAAATAAAATTAAACTATGCGAATCTTACCAACGATCTCACTCAGTCACTCGCACGCACCAACAAAAAAATATTGTTATTGAGAGATTTGAAATTAAGGTCATCATACAACTTAAAATTGATTTACAAAAATTATTATACATTATCTATTGGGATTACAATTATGTCAACTAACTAGGCTCACTTTTCACACTAACATTAGTAACAATTTGCAGAGTATGGCATGGGGGACATGGCTTCCACACTAGGGGATGTATACAGCTTTGGGATTCTTTTATTGGAGATGTTTACAGGTAAGAGACCAACTGATGATATGTTTAATAATTATTTAAATCTTCATAACTTTGTTAAGAATGATTTGCCCGATCGAGTGATGGAGATTGTGGATCCCTGCATTCTATTGGAGCATAACACAAAAAGGCAGATTAAAGACTACATGGTTTCCGTCCTACGAATTGGGGTTGCATGTTCAATGGAATCGCCAAGAGATCGAATGGAAATGGAGAGTGTTATTAGCGAACTGCGTAGGATCAAAACTACTTACATGAATGAAGGGTTGAACCAAGACTAGGAAGTTGGAAGAGGTTGTACAACATGAAAACCAAAGGTGTGTAGCATACCCTCTTGACCTATGCATATGCATACTGAAATAGAAAATGAGATACTCAAAGTAGATTTTTCATTCAAATTTCTTCCCACTAGACACAAAGACATGAATTCCACCTATATTTATTAATATGGACCTATATTTATTCGAATTTCTCGTTTTCTTTCTTTTTTTATTATCATCTATTAATGCAACAAAGATGAGTGAGTAAACTAAAGCATTTTTTTTTTTTCCTTTGGCAATTGAACTAAAGCATGTTTATTCTTTTGTTGCTTAAGGTTACATCCAAGGTCCTTCAATAATGGTTACCTCAACAGTATGCTACTTCACAGATAGTAGAATACAAGGGGTGGCTTTATGTTATTGTTGCCTCAACAATCTTTAATCTATTACTTGAATAAGTAACAGACACTTTTCTCCTTTGGTTAGATTGTATTATATCAAATATGTGTTCATGTGGGATGTTATGTTTCCCGCTAAGATTGTGTGCTTGGGATTACCAATATTTGTCCATGTTAAGCTATCATTCCGTTGTATCTTCACTTTTCCTTGAAATTGCATGTTCATGTATCAAAAATTATTTGTTTTGTAGCTTTGTTTGTGTTAGCTTTTTATTCGTGGCAATCCCATTTGACAAAACTCATTTCAATTGTAATTGTATTCGATCTTTTATTTCAGTGAAGCTTTGAGTTTTAGATGCGAATCCAACCCGAATTGCGCCTTGCAGAGATGTTTCAGAAGTTAATTCTTTCATGTTTGCCACTTTGCTGACTATGTCGGGGATCACGGATCTATTTCTTATAAATATGTGTTTCAATCCGATTTTAGGGTACGGCTTCCAGATCTTCTTATTGGGTATTAGGGTTTTTATCTGGAGCTTCTTTGCTTGTTTCCTTTGATATCTGTGAGAGATTAGTCATGAATTGAGTTGATTATATCAAACGGTTTGTTTAGTTTGTTTTTTATTCAACAAAGAGATTCGGTGGATTCCGTGGAATTTGGGCCTGAAGTTTTGGTGGATTCCGGAGTGGCTCATTGTTGTGATTCGACATCGGCATTGTGAATTCAACGTTGGGCAAGACAATTCCGAGGTGAAGACAGGGCTGGAAGAGGCACATAGAGGTTGATTCGATTTGGGCGTGGATTCGCTAGATAATTGAGAGTACATTTGTGTAATTCCTTTGTGTCTTCTTAGTGGATTGTTTTGTGGCTTTTACCCAAGGTTTTTTTTTATCACAATTGGAGGTGCTCCAATTATGGTATTTCCACGTTAAAATCATTGTGTCAATTTGTCTTGATTATTTGATTGTGATTGTTATTTACTGCTTAAAATTGATACATAATTACAAATCAATATCTAGGGGATTTCTAGATTTTTCAATTTGATATTATTATAATTTGCCTTTTTGTCTTGGTAACTTTGTGTAATATAGACTCATGCACTACTAACACTAGCACTAGGTGTCCCACTAGGCTATATATACGTGTGACAACTAAGTTAACAGGTAATACAAGCTGTATTGCTGTGGAAACGAAAGAAAATATGTCAAAATAGAATCTTGATATGGGTGTTTTTGGAGATCTCAATTGAGCCAAATATGCCTTGTCAAATGCTACAAATAATCAAAATTCAAAAATATGTATGTTAAAAGAGACACATTACATAAAGAAATTAAAGATTACTGACCTGAGGGGCTTTATTTCACTAGACGGCTCCCTTTGATACTAGTAACAAACACACAGTTTTGGAAGGTATATGCATGCTTTTGTGGCTCAGCGTATAAGGAACCAATATATTAAAGTGATTCGGTCCAACATCTTGCCAGTTATTAATAAGTTCAAGAACAATCTTGACAAGATCTTGCAGCTCAAATGTTTCATTAGTTATCCTCTGAAGGAAAGTTGTCTTCCCAACACTAATGTTTCCTTCAACACAGAAAGTGAGTCTTTTCTTAGGTGTTGGCTGCACATCAGAATCGGAATTGTCCTTTGACTCTTCATCCACATTCACTTTGATAAAAGTAGTTATATGCTCAACATGGTTTCTGTGAATAATTCCCACTGAACGCTGCAAAATCTCAACCATCTTCTGATTTACTTCCCAAAAAATTGTAATTATAATTTTTCCTTCAATTCCCATTGAAAAATGAGGTGGTTCCAAGTTTTAAGTAGAGTACTTGAATAAAGACATGGTTTTCAAAATTCAGTGACTAGGAATGACCATGCTCAAGGCCAATTTACAAGTTCGGGCAGATAACTGAATTCACTTCAGATTTGCCCATCCTCAATACAAGGTGACAGATTAATAATATATTTTTATGAAAAACACAACTAATAATAATCCAAAAGTATAGATTCCATACACAATACATGTACCACAATCATTTGCCTCAATTTCATTTATTTTTGGTTAATTTTACCTTTATCCCTAAATTATTGTCATTTTTTCTATTTAATCCCTAAATTATCAATTAAAACTATTTAGTCATTCAATGTCTGACTTCAATTGATATGGTCAAATTGAAGACTGTAGGAATATTTATACACAGCGAATTAATGAATTCAATCCATATCGGAATATCTTGAATCCAAAAATAATGAACCTGATGAGTGAATCATGTGTCTCCGAATCACCAGTTGGAATCCCATTAGTGGAGTGATACTATAAGCAATACCCACACAACTCACAGTACAAAGGTCTATGTTCTTCAATGGCAAAGAGAATAAAAGCACATATATTTTTACCCACAATATTACGTTTTGCTTCCCCAATTCACTCCCATAATAATACATATATTAAACAGCTCACCCTGACAACCTATCAATGACAATATCAACCATAAATCAACCGAATTCCAGCCCTTTCCTGAGACACGTACTCTTCTTACCAAGGCATGAAACCAACTTAACATATAATCACATAACACAAAAACAATTTTAAGCATCATGCCACTTAATCAAGTCAAGTCTACAAGGATGACCACTTGTCCCAGGACTTCCAAGGAACTCCCACCAAGCAAGTTTGTCGAATATGAGCACCATCCCTGAAACTCAACCCCATGCCCATAGAAAAGCAACACATAATTTTCTACACCTCATAACTCCTACATGCAATGTCCTCATCAAGTGAAACCAACCCATTGTGGTAAAAACCATTTCCCATGAGATCAAGGTTTTCAAACCTGGTTAGCTCTGATACCAAGTTGTCACGCCCAAAATTTTATTATCCAAACACATTACCAAAACCTTTAAATTAAGTCCAATTGCATAACATGTGTAGGAATAACATTACACTTAAGTAAAATAGAAAATGTTCCCTCTCGAATAAATATAATAATAATACATGCCCAGGTTTACATTGAAATGCTCATAATAAATAATTACATGAGAGGACACTCATAAATCTCAATTTACAACATATCTCTCATTTACACTTTGTATTACAGACATACATAAGACAAAATTAGACTTCTCAAATCTTCAAAACCGGTGTTTCTGACTCCTTTCTTGAAAATGGTAAAAATAATGTGGGATGAACAAATATGTTCAGTAGGGATCTACCGTGATTCTCCACAATAAGATCAATAGATATAGGCTATCATGAATACTAAAGGATGATACATAAATAAATATTGTGCCTTTTATACTCAAAATAAATTGCACATAGGTTTTACCATCCTCATGAAAATATGCTAAACTTTTTGAAGAAAACACTTTTCTTTTATCTTCTTACCATTCTTGTATAAATTTTTGGCAATCTTTCTTAAAAGTCCCTTTTTAACCTTTCATAAAGGTCTTAGGCCTATGAACCCTACATTACTAATGATTATACATCCCACCCTTTAAATCATAACTAGCCATCACCCCACCACAATCTGCATACCTTCAATAAATACATGTAATTACACTTATTTAAACACATACCAAATAACCAATCCATATAAAATAAATCAATTCATTTCCATCTATGCCATTTACATATACCAAGCCTATTATGAATATCTCACACAAGTCCACAATCAACAACCACCCCTATTACCAAGCCATATCAACGAACTACATGCTTTTTCGGGTGCTACTCTAGAAGGGATGCGGAACCTTTATCAAGTGCCACGCTTTACCAGTCACAAGTCGGAAGGAACGCGGAACCTCCACATATCTCAACAGACCACACGCTTTTTCAGGCGCTACACTGGAAGGAATGCGAAACCTCTATTAAGCACCATGCTTTACAGATCACAAACTCGAAGGAAACAGACCCTTATTCTGATATCACAATCCATCAATTCGTCATGTTATTCATTATTACGACTCATGGATAAAGCATGAACATCATTCATTGATTCCATTACACAATTAACCAACAACACATCCATAATAAGCATAAGATTTATCTTTAGAAACAATTACAATTTGTTCTCCACAATATTCTTTATTTCTCAACAATTAACACCAACTCTTTATATCCAATTATATAACACAATTAGTATCATACAATTCCCAAACATAACCCTCACATACCAATATTATTTCCACAACAATTAATTCTCATTACTTATACTCATCTTATTCAATCATACACTAAATTTCAAGAATTTAAAATCAATTGAAATAACTACTCATTTTTAAAATAAGTCCATAACTAGGGTTAAACGAAATTTAGGGCTTTTTACTTTGAGGCACAAAATCATGTTCTAATTACTTAAAACTTCCTAAATACAACTAAATTTTACATTTAACTCCCTTAATTTGAAAACCCTAACTTCCTTTTTATGCCTTTAAGAAAAATATCCTTAACAAGAAGTTTTTATGCAATACACAAATTACCACCCATATAACTATAAGAAAATATTGTAAGGAAGCAAAGAAATCCCTGCCTCCAGCAATAAGAGAAGAAACCCAAAATTCCAACTTCGATGAATCCGCGATCCGCTTGGATGGATAGAAAGCCCCCGGCATGCTCTTAATTTTTATAAAAGGAACATGGGGTAGAAAATGAGTAGAAAAAGATCAAAATCAAGGTTAAGGGCTTCAAACCCTCAAAAATGGTGGAATGGAGGAAGAGGAGAGAGAAAGAATATGAAAGAATGAAGAAAAGTGGACAAAAAATGGCTTTTAAAGATGTTGATCCCGAACAGACCGCTCGAGTGGTGAAACCGTCGCTCGAGCGCAGAATGCGAACTCCTAGAAGTTTAGACCATACGAGGCATACCGCTCGAGCTGCCAATCTTGCACTCGAGCGAACATTAGCAACAACCAAAATCACAGACCTACAAAAGTACTGGGTGACATGCCAAACCACTCAAGCGAACAATCCATCGCTCGGGCAATGGAGAAAATTTCCAAAATGCTATATGGTGCAGCATCTGCACAACGATGCTCTAATAATGACATTGAAGACATTGAAGATTAGAGATTGCCAGGTAAGGCGTATACTGATTGATCAAGGTAGCTCTTGTAACATCATGTATTTACAAGGAGCTCAGCCTTCACAAGGACGATTTGGAGCTATCTGATAGCCCCATGGTCGAATTTAATGGGACCCCGATGTGGCCACTAAGAACCACGAACCTGGAGATTCAAGCAGGAACACAGACAGTAACTACGGAGTTCACTGTGATAGACACCCCTTCCCCATACAACATCATCTTGGAAAGGCCTTGGCTATACGCTATGAGGGTTGTTCCCTTAACTCTGCACCAATTGTTGCGGTT